TCTATTTTATGTCTAGATTTTGCGATTACTAAAATTAAATGTTCTTCTCAAATTATTATAGTTTGAGTTTCATCAGTTTGAGAACCAACAATTATTGAGAGGCTGACTTTTTACTCTTCCTCTTTTTTTTTTGAAGAATCAGAATGGATTGAGATGTGTTTTAAAACCTTAACTTGAAGGCTCTGAAATTTCTACCTCTATTAGATGGAACTTATGTCAGGTATTTCTTGGTTGTTGTGGGTGGGTTGTTGAGTGAGTGAAGAGTGATCGTGATAAGATCGAGGAAAAGCCAAAGGTTAGCAGTAGTGTAAAAAGTAACATTGTAATCAGGGCTTTATTCAAAACTTTCAGGCCTAAACCAGCGGCCCTAAGTCTGTGGCTACTTGGATGATGCCTATATCTTCTATGCCTATAGCTGGTGTAGTAGCAAACAGCAATGTCCCCCCACCTTGAAAGGTATACCCAGAATTGAAGTGGAATAGCACAAATTATACCCAAGGGTATCTTTGGCCCTGGTAGTTTAAGTCAATATTATACTACTATTGCTAAAAATCCTGACTTTGAATGTTGTACTGATGTAGGGTTCAGAGAATGGCAGGCAGTTGGAAGTCTAAAAGTTCATGATATATGATATATATATCTTGGTGAAACATTGAAATCATTCCAGAGTTTCATCTTCTCCTTGTACACACTTTTATTGTTACCTACAAATGAGGAATCATCTGAACTCCACCTCATGTAATAAAAGTGGGTTAAAGATAGATATGCTTGATAAGCAACAAAACTTACTAAGAAGGTGATGACTAATATGTATGAGCAGCTGCTTATGAATAATAAGACTATGAAAACTATGAATCATACTGTAGCTGGGAAAAGGACTTTAGTGAACAGCTTGATGATCAGATCTTGCGCAAAGTCTTATACAATGCTAAAAAAAAATCACAAGTTCAGACAGATCAATCAATCTTTATTTGTATGTACGTTTGTAAGTGTTATCTTGAGACATTTTACAAAAGCAGGTAAAAGACCTTACTCATTGCTATATTACAAACACCCAATGTTAATCCATCATGAGCGTGGTACTTAGCAACATTTTAGCAAAAGTTACAGTGGCAAGAAAAATTCACCTGAAATACAATATGAGATAGTAAATAAATTCAATGTGACTCCTGAAATAGAGAGTAAATATGATGACACATGCTCTGCAACATGTCAGAAAAACTCAAGTAGGCACATATTATCATTTAATGTGGTCCTTTGTCCAAACAGAGATTAAGACATTGACATTACAGCAAAAAGGGAACCAAAACTAGGCTATGTATTCTTGGTGTAAGCTTCATGTCTGGTCAAAAGTCAAACATGTTCAGGATCATGCTGTGCAGCACGCCTTTCAATCCTGCATCTTTGGCTTCATGTACATCCACCCACACTAACAATTTGGTATGATGAATGATTATCAATTCTTCCTCAGGAGAGGTTGTCTGACCCATAAATGAGTCTGTGTCTGATGTAGCCTATTGCAGGGAACCTTACATGAGTTTGTAAAATCGATAACCCATATAGTTTAAAGGCTCAAATTTGGCGAGTGAATCTGTAACATTACCGCGGAAATTCCTTTTTCTCCGTACTCCAGCTGTCCGGCTGTGCTCTCCGTGTGTGCGGACTGAGAACGCAGCCGGTGGGTGTTGACGGATGAGGATGCACGGACCAGTAACAGACCGGAGCGGACAGTGCACACATATCTGGTGGAAGTTTGCCGTTTTTGGGCACAGGTAACTAGGGACGTAGGTTACTACTCGTCCTGATGGTCAGCTGTCAGAAAGGCGCTTGACGTCACCCAGCGCTTTTCTGAGAAGTTGAAATAAAATTCAACTGAAAAAGGCGTCGGGCGCAGCGCTTTTTAAAAAGGCGTCATCCTTCTTCCTTTTTCTTGTATGTAAAAAAGGCGCTGGCAGTTGAAAAAAGAAGTCAAGTGTGAACAGGGCTTAATACCTCTAAAACCAAAGACTTATTTCCAAATATCTTAAAGCTCTCTGAGGGTTTCTGATAGTATCCCAATCATTTATTGGTTCCTTTGCAGAGGACATGAAAGGTCACCAACTCATCTGCTTTATGGTTTTCACACTCTGCAGCCTTTGTATTAATCATTCCAGTCTCTCTTGTATATTGGTGAATTTAAAAAGGTCTTCTATGTCATAGCTTGAAGTACACAGACATGCGTAAGAATGTTCCTTTGGTGAATGGTTGTTATCACACTATTTTGATCACCTTTGAAACGTGTTACTTCCTCACAAGATTGAGAAAATGTGAACTTGAAACCAAAGGGAGTTTTTCAGCATTCAAACACAGTCCATGCTGCAGAGCAGACCTTGTAGGCATCAGTGGGAGTGATGGAGGAAATCTACGCCAATATTGAATATGAAAAACCTGTCAACACAAAACCTCGGACAGGTAAGAGTGCTCGTTCTTACTGAGCTGTGCATAAACGTATTTGATTACATGCCATTATTATTTGTCCCGTATGCTTCTATCTGTGTTCAGGTCCAGAGAGCTCAGGGAGGAGATTTTACAGAGCGGTTGTTCTTCTTCTGGGACTGCTGAGTCTTATCCTGCTGGCTGGGATCATCGCCCTCGGTGTCCACTGTGAGTCAGTTTGACTTATCTTAATATCAGGTGGAGCTGGTTATATTCAGGAGCAGTCTGCTTTGAAAGTTCCCCCCTTTACCAAATTAATCTCTATCCACTTCTGGCTTTTCCTACTTCTGTCTTAACCTTTGTAAACATTTCCCTGAACTTGTTGCTCTTAAAGCTTGTGTTGTAGTTCTCAGAATCACTCTTGGTTTCAAGACCACTTTTTGAAGGTCTCATTCTTGTCTCGGGAATCGAATGCATTTTAACTCAGTCTTGTCTCAGACTGCGGATTTTAAGTCAAGACTGGTCAAGACCACCTCTTAGAGGATTTTTCCACGTCATTTCTGTGATTAGAAGGAAAAAGGCTCTTTTTAAAACAACATGTAACTTCAACTCATTCATAATCTGATTTGTATCCCCCGGTTACTGTTGCAAGCTATCCAGTGTTACTGGAGTGACACGTCGGCTGCACACAAGACGATGATTTTTCTGTGATATTCTTGACTCAGTCTCAACCTCTAAATGACTTGTTCCTTAGCACTCTGGTCTCGGGTATGTCTTGGTCTCGGTTAGTGTGACCTTGACTACAACACTACTTAAAGTGTGTTTAAAGTGTTATAAAATCACTACAAAATGAAGACAGGAGCATACAGAAGCTTAACTTGGTCTGAGCTAATTTTGCAAAGGGGAGCTAAATTATGAATCTCCAAATACTCTCTCCTTAAACCATTAAAATGCCCTTATTGTTGTCATGAGTTTCTGGTTTAGTTCTGTATTTTTGTTAACTGGCCCCTTAGTTTAACTTTTTATCTTCTACTCTTGTGTTTGTTTTTATCGTTATATCTCAAGGTCTCTGTTGGTCTTGAGTGTTTCCTGTTTTATTTTGTAGTTATTTCCCCAGTGTTTCAGGTCTAGTTTTACCTCCTGTCCTTGGGTCCTTCTAATGTCTCTTAAAACATATTTCCTTGTTTCCTCTCTCCTCTGCTTCGTTTTTTCACGTCTCTCTGTTTATCTCTGATGGACTAAGACGCAATTCATGGATGGAAGTGAAGGGACACGTGGATGCAATGTGAGAGACATGAGAAGAACCCCTTGTGTGTTTTCTCTGCAATGGGATTGCCCTCCTCAGTTTCACCTGTCCTGTCTGTCACACCTGGTTTTGATAACCACTGGTCTATTTGGTCTCTGCATTTGTTCCCTTCTGTGTCACTTCTCTCATGTGTTTCCTGTTGGACTTTCATTGAACCTTTTTTCACACCTGGGCACTTTAAGAGTCATCCATTGTCTGCTTTAAAAAAAAAAGTGTTTGTTTAATAAAGTAGTTTTGTTTTTTTAAGATTCATCAGAATTCTCCGCCACCAAAGCCAATTTTACCGAGCGTCTGCAGGACAGAGAGAACCAGCTGTCCTCCCTGACTGAACAGAGAGACCTGCTGAATGCCAACCTCACTGAAAAGACTAAAGAGCTGGAAAGACTTCAGACTTTGTCAAAACAGAGTGAGTGCTCTTCCTGTGTGGTTACTGCTTACAGCTATCTGTTATACTGTAGATAGACGCTGTTATCTTCTCACTTCTGCCAAATATATTTACAGTTTGTGTGTGTGGTGTGTGGTGTGTGGTGTGTGGTGCGTGGTGCGTGTGCGTGCGTGTGCGTGCGTGCGACCTTTTCCACTTGTAAGTCTTTAAAAAGTATTTGTTTCATGCAGTTTGTGTCGAAATGTATAGGCGTTTGTGGACCTCGGGAGCATTGTCATGGTTCTAGGAACTGTTGGAAGCCTTTTATATTGATTCTGCACCGCAGGAACTAGGAACTAATTTAGTTAACCCTGTTTAGAGGAACCTTTTGAGCTCCTGCGTAGGTATGAGTAAGTATTCTCCCAGCACACAAGGGACTTAAGTGCACAGTTATTGGTCCATACATCAATATATGCGTGACAGAACAAAGAAACAGAAGAAAACAAATGTTTAAAAAGCGCCTCATAAACTTTTTGACACTACTATTTTTTCCTGGCGCACACTTGAGACCCACTTAAAATGGCTCCTTGCCCGACAAGTTCAGAACCATTGTTTAAGACGGTGACCACTGTCTCAAAGTGACAGAATCTACATTTGAACGAGTTTAGTGTCTCTAGTTCATGGCCAACTATCATGCGTCACATGGCCAATGACTCTGAGTAACACAATCAGCATTTGAAAGAGTTTCACTTCCTTAAACATTTTGATCTGCAAAAAAACATCTAATGCAATTCTAATTCCTCGTTAGATTTGCTCATCATGAATTTGACCCCATGTAAGGGAAAAAGTTGAAGGTCCTGTTTAAAAATGTATGTTAACATGCCTTCTGAGTGAGCTTATAACAAATGGAAAGCCTTGAGTACAGGTGAAAACCCATCCAGGACACGTGGAGATCTGATCTCTCAGGCTAAACTGGGAGCTAGTCTTGGACACGTCTTTTGACATTTCACAAGTCGCTGCAGAAAGTTGTACAGCTGTACAGAAATAAATCAAGTTTTACTTAATCCGCTAGAAAAATAACTGCTGAGGTTGTATACTTGTCAGGTCTGGATTACGGCAATGTGATCTATAAACATGCTGCAGCTTCAACTCTAAAGCCTCTGGACGCTGTCTATCACTCTGCTCTCAGATTTATAGATAGATTCGATGCTCATCATTGTGTCCTGTATGAGAAGGTTGTTTGGCCGTTTCTTGAAGAGGGGTCCAAGAAACATATTTCAAAGCCCTCATCGGAAAAAAACGTCTTCCTTACATAACGGACCTGTTGGAGTTGGCACCTACATGATACATTCTACTGATTGGCTCGTTCTTAAAGTCCCTCAAGTTTCACTGAACTGGGCAAAACAGCATTTTCTATTGATGCCCCAAACGCGCTGCTGCAAACTCTAAAGATTGGACTTCTTCCCCTCATCTGCAGAGATTAGGATTTTGAGTTTGTAGCGACTTTTTTTTACAATTGTGAGTGTTTAAGAAAGTTGTTTCTATTGTTTTTGTAAATCCTTTTGAGAATAAATCAGTTGAATGAACATTCATTTGAAAGTGTGTATGGACATGTTTCATTGTCTTGCTGGTTCTCTAATGTTTTTACTTTGTCCTATTTTTTTACAGAGAAAACTTGTCCTACTGGATGGAAGATGTTCCGTTGTTCCTGTTATCTCTTCTCAACTCACACTAAGACTTGGGAAGGAAGCAGACAAGACTGCAGAGACAATGACGCAGATCTGGTGGTTGTAGACAGTTTTGAAGAGCAGGTAATGTGTTCTATAGGAGCCATGTTTCGGAAGTGCAAACACAAATTGTTCCAGCAGGTGTCACCTTTAGGTTAAGGTGAAACTCTATATAGGTAGGAACTATGACTGGGGTGTCAGGTGTTGCTAGACAGGGAGCAATTACACTTTTTTGACTGCTTTAGCCACACTGAGGTAACAGGAGTGAATGTAAACGGACATGTCTGGATTATTGTTTAAATAGCTCACATGTGGCATTAATCAAGACAATGATGGAATGAGAAATAAATATTCCTAAACGAAGAAGATATTGGACTGTCTTATTTCGAATTCTTACGCTCAGGAGTGAAGCCGGCAAACGCATCCATTAATAGGTTAGATTAGCCCGTCTATGTAGCCCCTCAGTGGCTTTAAGTTTTAGGCTTAGCCGCTATATATTCTTTAGTTAGACATATAGACATGGAGTTTATAGGTCCACAAAAATGTATGTAGACTGGATGAGTGAACTCCATTGCTACCTCAAGAGGCCCACCAGAGTAATGATTATGTCCAATGTTCCACATGCCAGGATACTTTAAGGTCACTAATGATTTTCAATTTTATGCTACTTAAAGGGGCTATATGTAACTTTTAAAAATACTGCCTTTGTAGTGATACCGCATGGCCGTTAGGTGAACTGCACAACATGTTGCTCGATCTCCCTCGCGTGCTCGTCATACGTGCTCGTACGTACACAAACGAGCATCATCGTCGGCCCCGAAACACTTGATATTTACAGAAATAATGTTTACAGAGGAGGTAAGTGTTCATACACATGCGAAAGTCTGTGAAGGTGTCTGTATTCATTCTCCATCCCACAAACGACAGTCTCTGCAGGCACTGGCTGAGAGCGGGAGTGTGTGATGAGATTGTCCGCCTTTGAGAGCTCGTAGGGCGGATAGAAGTGTGTGGAAAGCGGCCTCTGGCTGTAGCGGGAGTGTGTGATGAGTTTGTACTGTTGATCTCTGTAAGCGGAGCGGAGTGAGGAGAACATTGAGCAAGTGCATAAAATGTCACTTCCTGGAGCTTTCGAAAAACAACCTGGGGAAACTTTTTATACAGGTAACACAGATAGACAGTGAACATCTACTTTTTCACATCAGTTAACCATTCGCTTATTAATGGGCGATAAAAAACAATTTATACATGTAAAAAGTTACATATAGCCCCTTTAACAAATCCACCACATTTCTTTACACTGACTTTACATGGGTTTTCTTTCTTTCTGCCAATGCTTTTATTTTTAAAGTCACATATTCTCCTTTTCAACCAGTTGAAATAAGTCTCAGAGTTCCCCAAAACATGTGTGTGAAGTTTCTTGTTATAAATCCACTCTGATCCTGTATTTGATCATGCCTATAAACCCCTCTATTTCAGCCCTGCTCAGAACAGACTGTTTCTGTGTCTGTACCTTTAAATGTAAATGAGTTGGGTCTGACCCACACCCTCTCTTGGGTGGCCTCGGGTGTTCGCCTAGAGGGCAGTACAAACACCTAGTCGTGGGAGTGTCACCCACCTGGAGGAGGGGTTACTGCCCTTTGTGATGTAATGAAGGGATAAGTCCCAAAACGGCCTGTTTGAGCAGACGTTTTTTAATTATAAAGCTAAAATCGAAATAAAAATACAGGCTCTCTTCCTCCAACAGGAATTTCTAACTAACAACATCAAAACAGACACTTGGATTGGTCTGAGTGACCGGGACAATGAAGGCACCTGGAAATGGACGGATGACACTCCCCTGACTCGGGGGTAAGGAACACAGTGATGTGTCAATTTTTTCAAACAGTCTCCAAACTGTTAAATACAATTGTTACAACTTTCATATTTAAAAAAAACATCCAAATTCACCAAACACAGTTCATACTTGGTTCAAAACGAAGTCGTTGTGGTCAATGCAACCAACATTAAAAGTTGTTTTGTCATCGTGTGAGCCGCACTGGACGAAATGATTCAACCTTTTTTCATGTTTTTCACTGTTTTTGTTGCCATGCCAGCCAAAAAAAGTTGTTTCATTTGAGAATTGAGCCACAGTAAATGAGAAAAACTGCAAATTTCTAATACTGCTTGCATGGAGAGCAAACATGTTTGGGTTAAATTCAGTCCATAGAGCCAATAATATATTCTCAATGAACATCATGATTGTTTTGTGAAAGCGAGAAATCCGGTGAAAATTATCTTCACCCCTCTTATAGGTACTGGTGGACAGGTCAGCCTGATAACGGTGGAGGAGATCCAAATTGGGGCGAGGAGGACTGTGTCCATTTTGGAGCGGGCAAGAAAAAAGAGGCAAACTGGAATGATCTCAGATGTGACGTATCCAAACTGTGGATCTGTGAAAAATAGCAAAACAATGGAATGATTTACACTGTATGTTATTAAGAGCACACTAAATGTCCTTTAAACTACCTTTATCTGTGCAAGAGCACTAGGCCTCCATCAGAGTTGCGCTCAACGCTGATTACGGCCTAGTGCTGAAAGGCGTCCGTTGTTGTTTTGCTGCTCTTTCCCAGATAAAGGAAACTTAAGTGACATTTAGTGTGCTGACGTTTCTGTCTCTTTTTAGTCTTTTTAGTGCACCTGAAACTGTGTTTACTGTCGACTATGCTCCTTTTCTTTTTCTGTTTTTGCACTGTATGTTTTTGCAAGAGGCCATTAGTAAGGTGTAATATTCTCACATAATATCATTGTGGTTGCTTAGCAACACTGTTGTGTTGTAAGTCAGTAACATGTGTGCCTATTGGTTGCTGACTGAGCCTGATTGTGATTGGTCCGCAGTGTATGCAGACAGAGCCTGTTCTGTTCAGTATGTGTCAGAAGTTCGCCTTCCTAGTAAGACTTCACCTGAATGTACACGACTGCAAATAAAGATTCAGTTAAAGCACGTCGTCGTAACAGATTATTTTCGTAACGTCATACAAAACAAGACACAGGGCTTTCATGTTGTGTATGTGTTTAGAGAGACAAAGGGAGAGAGTGTAACATGTACAGAGTTGGAGACGAGTAACTATATATGTGCTTGACCTATTTTAATGAGAACATTCAAAATTAACAACAGGAAGGACGGCGAATGCAGATGACTCCCATGGGTTTTTGTCAACAACAGGAAACAATAGAACATATTATCATTTACTTTATGAAGCTGAGAGAAGGAAGCTGACACTGCAGGCTGAAAGAGATTGAAGTGTTGTAGTTTTTACTTAAATATCTAAGAACAAATTTGATAGAGATAATTAGCTTCATTTATTCATTTTATTTTTGTGTGTGTGTGCAGAATTAGGATATAGTCATAGGATATAGTTCCCTTTACACACTCCATACGAGATGGTGGCGGTAATGCGCCAAAACGTTGTTTGTCAACCGCCAAAAAAAAACTCAAAGAAGAAGAAGAACTTCCGGTGCACGCAGGGTGCGTTCCGTAAACCGTCCGCTGTTCTGGTTGAGAAGGCCAAATAGCGACACTGCGGTGAGTTTAAATCCTTATAATGAACATTATCTGAGAAATACGAGTATCTGTGTTTAACAAGATATCTAGTTTATTGTCTGTCATTTCTGGTTTTTAAATGATCTTAATTTGTTTACTTTAATGCACCTGGCGCGACCTCTGTTCAGAAGTCCTTGACAGTCTGTCAGTGTTAGCTTAGCTTAGCTTAGCAATAAACCTTCATGTTTTACAACTTAAACCAAACGTGTCCCCCGTTTGCAGGACACAGACCAAACTGGTTTAAAGGTTTAAAGAAACACAGCCACAAACGGGACTGAGAGTTAACCATGTTATCACACATCAGGGTTACACTCAGAGAGGTCAGAGGTTAAAGTGAAGACTTCACACCTTACAGGACACAATATGCATGAATGACATTAAACTGCACTCGAAACAGTCCAGACACTGTCCATGCTAACCCTGACCTCCACAGCTCAGTGTGTCCATGTGTTCATGTGGTGTACGAGATAATAATTTAATAATGTGGTGTCTGACTTGATATTCCTCATCGTCACGTATTGCATGTCAATATTTATCTCAAACACAGCTTGTGACAGAGACAGTCCACACATCTTCACGGTGTTTGGTGTTGTTGTTACAACATTTAGACTTCCTGAACTGGAAGAGCGATCTCTACCAACTTGGAAACTGGAACTGTTGTTTGCTCTGAAGGAGAAAAACACATTTAAGCGATTGCTGTGCCGCAATTCACACACACTGACCCCCTTACTCTGACAGGAGGAGGTGGAGGCGGTGTCCTCTGATCAGTGTAGGATTGCCAGCTCTGCTCTGTGTATAAACATGCAGGAGACCGGGGGACTAAATCTGAGCTGTTATCTGTAACAAATCACTATGTGAGGCTACTCTTACTTAGGCCTGAGGCTGAATGGCAAAAATCCTTGGAAGAAAATCCAAAAATCCTCCCTCCAGATAATAATACCTGTGGTCATATTGATACCGATTTACCGCCCAACACTAGCTCACACACACACTTTGTATCCATCATTGTGCACTGAGTGTTATAAAAGAGAGCAGCAGCGTGTTTAACCTCTGGCCTCTGCAATTTTCACTTCAAGATCGAGTTCTTATATTTTAGGATATTATGCACACAGTATTTATGTGTATATGTACAGTACATGTGTGTGTGTTTATATATAGATGACAACACATTGCTGCAGTCTGTGTTAATCTGTCTCTGGTTATAAGGTTAAAGTCCAGAAAAAGGGAAATGTTCGCACACTGTTCAGCTCCCAATCAGCAACAAACGTTGCCCTTTAGAAAGTTGCTCATTGGGAATTGAACAGTGTGCAGACCGTTCCCTTTTTTTCTGCAGTTTAAACCATTTTTGTCCTGCACCTGTATGCAATTTGCTTGGATGTGCGCACACTAGTCTTTTTTAAATGTTAAATGTTCAGTTATCTGCCAAATATATTTCAACAAAAAGTTATACAAGTATTTTCACATCAAAATAATTTCTCTTCCTGTAAAACGTTTATTATGTCTGATGACTCATCCTGTTGTTGTGTTAAACTGTCTCTGGTTGTGTGTCTGTTTTTTCAGCTCAAAAAGGTGATGGCTGCTTCTCTGCGTTTGTTGTACTCTGTGAGCAGACCAGGTGAGATCACAGCAACACACACCTGTATCATAACAACACATGTTCATAAACACACAGCAGTGTGTACCTGTTTAACATCTCTCAGGCGTATATCACATTCATAATCATGTTAATGACGATTTTGTTCAAACTTTAGGCTCTTCTGGGGTCGCTCAGAATCTGGTGAGGTCCTTCAGTGTTTCCACACAGAGAGGAGGATTCAGTGAGTACACACACACACACACACACACACACACACACACACACACACACAGCAGACATTATTATGTCGGGTTATTTTAAATCATGATGCTGTGACCATTCTAACCCGAGTAGCTCACCATGGTAACACTCTCGCTGTACAGATCACCATGGAAACCCTGACTGGGACAAAATTATTGAGTTTGTATTTAAGTGCTCCAGAGGTTTTTATAGTTCAGTGAGTCTCTGAGGGTTAAAACCAACAAACAAAGGAAAAACACAAACACTGATCTTATGATTCTGATTGAAGCTGCTGGTCAGAGAGAAGAACTCAGAGTCATGAAGATGATTTAATAAATGTTTGTGTTTGTGTGTCTAGAGTATGTGAATGCTCAGGAGGTGCCCACAGACATGAAGTCGATTACAGACCGAGCTGCTCAGACACTGCTGTGGACCGAGCTCTTCAGAGGTAAGATCAATTCGACTTAATAATACTAATAATAATACTATTAATTATAATATTAATACTAATAATAATTATGATGTTTGGGTTAATGCAGTGGAATGATGACATGTTGTCTTTAAGTAATTCTGAATGACAGATAAACTGAAGGACGTGTTGTGCTCACAGATGGATTCAAAGTCTTTAAAGTTAACAAGTTATCTTCAATCAATTTTCTTAATAAAGAAGTTTTATGTGTTCCATGTTTCATCACCATGTCTGTTAAAATCCCTTCAGACTATCACAGTTTGTGTTTCATATTTTATTAAAGATTCATAAAGAGAAACATGAGGTTGTTGGTCTATTGAATGTCAGATTAATCATAATCATAATCCTGAGTCTCTGCTGGGACAGATTTGATTCTTACTAATCGTTTATTCTGTGCTCGTCGTGTTGTGTGATGTTTGTGAAATGATTGTGTGATGTTTGGGTTAACAGGCCTGGGGATGACCATGAGTTACCTGTTCAGAGAGCCTGCCACCATCAACTACCCGTTTGAGAAAGGACCTCTGTCACCTCGCTTCAGAGGAGAACACGCCCTGCGCAGGTCAGAACTGACACACCAGTCACTCACGCCCAGCTCACTCTGTGATTGGCTAGTTTTTATAGAGGTGAGACAGTGGGCAGATTCCGAGCTGATTCTGTGTTTTTTAAAGTGAATGGCTTCTCATTTTCAACTCTGTTTGAACAATCACGATGACACTTTCAAAGAACAGAACACACAGCACGGAACACAGAGAACATAAGAAGGAGCACAGAACAAATGTATGTAGCAGCAGAGTTCTCTTTGTCTTTTACTCAGCAGTAAAACACAGAAGCAGAACGTACAGGTGGAACACACCTGGATGAGGTGTTACTGTCATAGGTTAGAATCCAACAATACCACTCCAGATTTTTGGTTTCTGCATCTCTGGCTCCATGTTTGCCATCTCCCACAATCCTTAGCTGGTAACGTATCCTATGAATGAGTCATCTGTAACTGTTTGTGATGATGTCATTCCAGGTATCCGTCAGGTGAGGAGCGCTGCATCGCCTGCAAGCTGTGTGAGGCCATCTGCCCTGCTCAGGTACACACACACACCTCTGTTTGTTTATATCACAGGTGTGTGTTACTGTGACACAACGAAGAAACATTAACATCATTGTAAAAAATATTTCTATCTCCCTGTGTGTGTGTGTTCAGGCCATCACCATAGAAGCAGAGACTCGAGCTGATGGAAGCAGGAGGACGACACGTTACGACATTGACATGACCAAATGTATCTACTGTGGCTTCTGCCAGGAGGCGTGTCCTGTGGACGCCATTGTCGAGGTGTGTGTGAGACCGAGAGAGGGATGATCTTGATGATCACTGTCTACCTCAGGTTTTTTTAATCATTGTTGACAGGTTTTTTAACACTTTAGATCTCAGGAAAACGATCACGTTAATAGATCTTTTTTTTTTATTTTTTATCTCATACACACGTCAGGGCTGTGAGTTTTCTAGATTTATTCAGAATCTCTGATTTTCATGTTCTGAAAAGTTGACCCATGATGAGAATTGAATTCTCCATTAGGATGTTTGTTTGTGTTCAGCTTGAACCGAATCTGCTGAATTTAAAGCACAGCTATGAACATTCTTGGTTGTTAATGTTGATTTGTTGTTCTGTGAACGTTCTGCGACGTAAAGTAACGTCTGTTAGCTAAAAGATAGCAACACTGATGAGTAGAAGGGTAAAAGTACCAGACATTTTGACTAAGGCAGCTATGAGCTGACGTCATGAAGGTCCTCACTTCAGAAATAATTTATTGATAAGTCAGGACTTAATGAGCCCAAATTTCTTTATACAGGCTGTAATATAACCTGAGAGAAGTTTATTGACATTATTTTTTACTAACAACATCTTATATAAAGTAAGAGTAAGTTTCTCAAAGTAAGAAGTTTTACTTAAAGGGCCCATATTATGCTTTTTCTGGTTTTATATGCTCTTCAGTGTGTTTTCCAAGTGTCCTGTGCATGTTTAGGCACATCTATGTGCAAAAATTCAAAGTCTGCGGAAACACGGCTTCTCCTACGTCCTCCTGTTAGCTGTAGCATTAGCTGCATGTAAAGCTCGGTTCTAGCCCTCCTCGAAAAAAAATTGTCAGTGTGATGTCACTGATCTAAGCCCATTGGCTCGTTGTGGCAAGACATGCAGCTCATGATACGCCCACGACGCCCACGATATGCCGTAGCCTGCGGTAGCACAGTAGTGCTAAGGTGCTAATGTTTTTGCTCCCCGGCTCTCGGAGCCAGAGTGGCTGAGCGACTGACCAATTACGGCAGAGCCGACAGGCCGACCAATCAGATCAGACATGACACACGTAAATCCCATGCAGTACCACGGTTTGTCCAGCTAATGTCCCTGTTCTTCCTTTAGTGGTTGGAAAAATGTTCTTATAAACTCCTTTACTTCTGACCTCTTTCATTAATGGATTTTATAATTATATTTTCCCTTTTTAAACTGCTGATACATTAAATCTCTCTCTCTAATTCTCTCTTTCCCTCTCAGGGTCCTAACTTTGAGTTCTCCACGGAGACTCATGAGGAGTTGCTCTACAACAAAGAGAAGTTGCTCAACAATGGAGACAAGTGGGAGGCCGAGATAGCTGCCAACATTCAGGCTGATTACCTTTACCGATAGAAACACACACACACTTGTCCTGTACATACTGTAAGGAGAACTCAGCTGACAGACAGAAATCTTCCTCTTGTTGTAATATTTGTGTCTGATTATATATTTATTAAAGAAACACGAGTCCCTATGATTGATTTGATTGATTAGATTGATCGATCGATCAGACAGACTCTAACATCACACTCAGCTGATCATCAATTATTGTTCTAATCTGATATTTTTCTTTATGACTCGAATAAAAAACCAGTGAGAGAAACACGGAGAGTCGTCGTTTCATTTAGAAACACACAAACTAACTTTATACAAACGGTAAACAAATTTTGAACTACGTCAACATGTGGACTGCAGATGCTGGGATCAAACCACCAACCCTCTGATTGGAAGACGACCCGCTCTACCACTGAGCCACAGCCGCCCAACAACTTAGATCATCAAACCTAAATGCGAAATACTGTAACACATAGCACATAGAACAGAATCATACATCCTAGAAAAAAAGAGTAATAAACTATTTCAAATCATCGAAAACTGGGAATGAAGGTAGAACATTTCACAAGTGCAAATGATGGATAGGCCGGATCTAGCAATAAGTAAGGTCTTTTACCTGCTTTTTGTAACATTACAATAAGTAAGGTCTTTTTACCTGCTCTTTTTCTAATATTAACAGACAAACAGTAAGGTCTTTTACCTGCTTTTTGTAAAGTGTCTTGAGATAACACTTGTTATGAGTTGACGCTAAACAAATAAAAATGTATTGATTGATTGAATTGATAGCACAAAGAGCATGAAATGTTTTCATTTTGTTTTACACACTTTATTAATACCTTTGTGAAATTCTGGTTTACACTGAGACATGCTTCTCTCACACGGTCAGAATCACACACATGCACAAACAGGACTTGTGGATGGAGAGATGTCAGAGTGGGGCTGCTACACAGGGGGATTGGATGTCTTGCTCAAGGGCATCTTGGCTGTGCTCTGGAGGTGACCAGCACCTCTCCAGCCACCAGACCAACTTCCACACTTTGGTCCACATCGGGACTTGAACCAGCGACCCTCCAGTCTCTACAGGCTGAGCAACTGCCAACCCAGACATTGATCAAACCGAAAAGAGAAAAACACCAACATAAGACACATAGAGCTTAGACGACAAGAAAAAAGAACATAAAACATTTAATTCATAACACAGAACATGTCTAAGTCCAGTGTCTATGTAACGCATAAAATCCACAACATAGTAAACAGAATGAGAAAGTAACAAAGGACATGGGACAGAACTCATTTCACAAGAAATAAAACTCAGAACATAGAACATGAAACTTTTAGAACACAAAAATGTAGATCATAGAACACTAAACATAGATGTTGAATGTTGAATATTGATTAAAGAATATAAAACTGAATATAGAAAATAACAAACAATAGAACACAAAACCGATCATGAATATGATAATGAATATAGAACCGAAATTCAGAGCTCATGCAACACATCCGTTTTTAACACACTGACCATAGAACAGAGAATGTAGAATGCAGAATGCAGAATGTAGAACACTACACAGGACATAGAACAAAGAACACAGAACATACAAAATACAATGTAGAAAGATAGAACAGAATAAACAACGCGAAGCAGAGAGCAGCAAATGTAGAACAAATGAGATAAAACATGAAAAATATACAGTAACATGGAGCACACAGAGAGACATCAGAAGAGAACACAGAACAGAAATTGGAACACGAAACACAGCCCTAAGAACAAGGAACATAAAACTTGGAATGAAATACCACGCCTCTAATCATTGAATATTAATCAGAAAAATTGTTCGCCTCTACAGATATTTGTGTTCGTTTGTAGAGGAAAGTAGTGTTGTTGACTCTCTCTCTCAGCCCTTTATATTCAGGTTTTTAGGACAAACAGCTGAGTTGTCATGGCGACGATCGTCCCCTGAGAGGATCTCTCTGAGAACATGCAGACTGTCCGATGCAGCTCCGGTCTCTGGAGGTTCACTGTGAAGATATTCAGCCTCTCTGGGGACAAAAAGGTTTGAATCCCGTGGGACCTCATCCTGGAACGGCATTCATCCATGCATGAGGTGTTTGCAGTGCTCATTTAGGTCACAAGTCAAAGATTCATACATTAAAACCATATAATATTTATGTAGCCTACCGTTTAGCGTTTAGTCGACTTTGATATAAAAGTATGTAAATAGTTTCACCCTAAGGACATTCAGTTTGTCAAAATGTTCAATAAGTGCACAGCAAACATGTTGTATGGTAAACAAATGATTTGATTTTATCTTCATACGTTCCTTTAACACAAACACATACTACTACTACTACTCAGCCGATCTATCAAACACAACACATCGATAAAAAAAAAAGCTTTTTTTAACACGGACTTCTGAAATAACAAATCAGCAGCCCTGCAGTCTGCAGAGACCCCAGCAGAGGGCGCTTACGCAACACAAAATACTGGTACCAGTGTAAAGCAAAAAGAGTGCATTATAAACAGCATTCACTCAATTAAAATATTAAATTACTGACAAATCGTGTTTAATAATGAAACATGATGATAAGAGTGATCGTTACCCCTGACGGATTCACAAAACCTGTCACACAACATAGAAGGTTGTGTTTACCTTATCATAAAAATGATCACCTAATGTTGTAGTAGGCCACTCGAAATCTGTCTCGAGACCACTTTGACTCTTAGACTGGACGGACTCCGGATTTTAAAAAAGAGACCGGTCAATACCACCACTGATACTGAGGTTATCTTTCCAGGTCATTACTGTGATAAGAAGGAAAATGGCCCTTTCTAAAGCTGAAATGAATAACTTCAATTAATTTGTAGTTTGATTTTCCCTAGGTTACTACAAGCCTATTCATCTAAATTATGGTAAATGGTAAATGGACTTGAGCACCATATCACACTACACATTCACACACTGATGGCAGAGGTTGCTATGTAGTGAAACCATCAGAAGTAACCAATCCATTCGTATACATTCATGCGCCGCTGACCAAGCAGCAAGAGCAATTCAGGGTTAAGTGTCTTGCCCAAGGACAAATCGGACATGTTGCTGCAGGAGCTGGGGATTGAACCCGTGACCTTCCAGTTGAGAAATTACCATCTCTACCAACTGAGCCACAGCCGCCACGTCTCACTTATTGTAAGCCACATTCCCCTGACAAATCTAGATAATCGCTATTTTTCAAGAAATATAAAAATGATCACCTAATTATAAAAATTATGACATCATCATAAATATGATCACACTATCAAAAAAAATCACCTCATCCTTAAAATGACCACCTTATCATCAAAATATGATAAGCAACAAGACCAAATTCCCTACTTTGGTCCATACTGGGACTCTAACCAGCAACCCTCTTGTTCCCAATCCGGGTCCCTATAGACTGAGTCTTGCCGCCCCAGTAGCTCATTCTGATAAAAAAAAATCAAAAAATGATCGCCTGATTAGACTTCAGGGACTCCTCGTTTTTTTTTTCTTCCAATGAATATATAAATAACTGATGTACTCCTGCAGTACTCTAAAGACCCTCTAGGGGCAGTTCTCTCACTGAATCTGTGTTTTATAAGATAAAATAGGAGAACGAGACACCATATTTGTAGTTTTATCTGCACACTGACTGATCATCTACTTTTGTACCCGAAACCAGAGGAGCTTTCGCCTGTTCATGCTCTCAGATAGGTGATACCACTGTCAGGTGAACCTGAGAGAGTGAACAGAGGGACAGGGTGACCTGAATGATCTCATGTTGATGTCATGATGTAACAGGAAGTGAGAGGTCGTCTGTCAGGTCGATGCAGACATGTTTAATATCAGAATGTCCCCCAGAGACGAGACAAGATATTACTCAGTGATGAGTGGACAGATTCACATCCACATCAGCAACACAACACAAAACACCACACACAACATAGACACAAATTACATAAAACACTACACACATCATCACACCAAACACTACACACAACATCACACACAGTATTATACACTAAGCACTACACCAAACAGTACACTGAACATCAAACACAATATTACACAAGAGACTCCACACACATTACACACAATATTCCACTAAACATTACACACAAGTCACTGCACAAATCACTGCACTACACTAAACCCCCACACCAAACACCACACACCTGTCCTGGTGATTTATGAGAGTGTGAAAATTTCGTCCCTGTCGTCTGCTCTCGTTAGAAACAATCAGCTGATTAATTTAGTCGCTGCTGATGAAGCTGTGAGTCAGTAACAGTCCGGTTCCCCCTCAGGCAGCAGAGAGGAACTTGGACTCAAATACAGAGCTATGCAGATAAACCTCACACACACAAAACCCCACACACAGACACACATACACACACACACAGGGAGAGAGAGAGAGAGAGAGAGAGAGAGAGAGAGAGAGAGAGGACGGAGTGGGAGCACAGCAGCGTCTCTCTGAACAACCTCTAAATCGTGTGATGCAGCAGCGCTGATGATCCAACGCTCCAGAGGTAGGAATTAAAGAAACATGCAGTTTGTGTTCCTGTGCCATACTGTTGTGTCCCTCTGTATTTGTGTGTCTGTGTGGTGCATGTCTGTGTGGTGTGTGTGTGTGTGGGGTAAGAAACAGAGTAATGAATCTTTACCTCATACTGAAGGACAGTAATATTAGCTCCGGGTTTGCCCTTGTGTGAGAAGGAGCCTGTGTTATACCTGTGTGTGTGTGTGTGTGTGTGTGTGTGTGTGTGTGTGTGTGTGTGTGTGTGTGTGTGTGATATAACTAGTTTTTACATGTGAACAGATGAAGAACGATGCAATGTGATTTGTGTGTGTGCGTGTGTGTGTGTGCTATAACTAGTTTTTACATGTGAACAGATGAAGAACAATGCAATGTGATGTGTGTATGTGTGTATGTGAGTGTGTGTGTGTGTGTGTGTGTGTGTGTGTGTGTGTGTGTGTGTGTGTGTGTGTGTGTGTGTGTGTGTGTGTGTGTGTGAGACCATAAAAGCCTCAGCGAGCTGTGTCATCGTATCGCCGCAGTCCCCCTCTCACCCCCTACCCCCTACACACATACACAGGACCTTCTCTGTGTGTGAGTCTGCATGCAGCGCTGATGGGCTACATGGGGGGGACCTTATGTTGCATCATATGTTCTTTAACTCTTCAGTTTGGATTTGTTTTAAGGATGTGGAGCAAATGAAGTGAACGTGCTCTTAGTTTACGAAGAGAACAGCTGATTAATGAGCAGACAGGTCTCACTGCTAGAAGAAAGCACCACTTTAGCTCATGAACAGCATAACAAAGGCTGTTATAGGACGCACTGTATTGGACATAAACTTCAAAAACATGCTTTATTTGAACTAAGTACAGAACTTATACTTAAAACACTTATTTGGTATCAAAAATATGAAGGCTGAACCAATATGAAATGATCATACTACAGAGCTCAGTGTGCCAGGTCCCACAGCGGTATAAGCCTATAGCAGCAAAACTAGGAGCTGGTCCAAGCCTGAGCCAGCTCTAAATATAAGCTTTAACAAAAAGGAGACTGCCTCCCAGACCCCCACTGGTAGATGATTCCAAAGGAGAGGGGCCAGATAACTGAAGACTGTACCGCCCATAGTGCATTTAGAGACTTTAGGTACCACGAGTATGCCTGCATTCTGGGACAGAGAGAGGACAGAGAGCAAAAAACTACTAATGATGGAAAGTACTTATATCATGCTTTGTTGGGACATGAAAACATAAATAAGAGGGAGAGAAAGGCTCTACCTCCCATAGTACATTTAGAGACTTTAGGTCCCATGAGCAGGCCTGCTTTCTGGGGGCAAAATGTTCTTGAGTGGTAAAACGGCACTGTTAGCTTTTTTAAGATAAGATGGTACCTGACAATTAGGAGCTTATTAAGTGAGAAAGAAGAATTTTAAATGCAATTCTAGATTTTATAGGAAGCCAGTGCAGAGAAGCCAATACAGGAGTTAGATACATGAGCTGCAGCGTTTTGGACCAACTGAATAGTCTAGACTTACTGGTTGAGACTTACTAGGGCATCCCTGTAAAATAAAATTGCAATAATCCAACCTAGAGGTAACAAATGCATTGACTAGTTTCCTGCATTATTCTAATTTTACAGATATAACTAAAGTGGAAATTGGATTTATTTGGGATGCCAGGCTGATGAAAACTAGAATGATATCATTAGAAAAAGTGCATCTGAGGTGTTTGGGGCCAAGCACAATAACTTTGGTCTGAATTAAGAAGCAAATAAAAATCTGGTCATCCAGGACCTTATATCCTTAAAGGAAGAATGTGCGACTTTTGATCCAGTAGATGTCGCCCTTGAGCACCAGCATGAAACCAAAACAAACTGCTGATTGGCAACACCTCCGCTATTCTGAAGCCTCAGCTATCCTCCATCTGCAAATCATCCAATCCCTCTCCACTCGTGTAAGGAGTCATGAATTAGAACACACCATAATTAAGCACCATTTAGCGCAAGCAGTGGACAAAATTGTTCTTGGCTCAAGCTACAATTGCCTGTGGCCTGCATTGTCGTGTGAGCAGGCTATTGTTAGCACGCTTTTGTTATCTCTTAGCTTCATATTGCACATAAATTGACACAGAATGACCATGATCTAAATTACATGACATCCAAATAAGCAGTGAGTAGGCTGTGTTATTCTGTTTTTCTCTAGTCCTTGACTGAAACAGCTTTATACGCAAGGCTGTCGCGTCCATACAAGCACGGCTCCAACAACAGTACAGCTGGCGAGACTCATGCTTCTCACTCATTGTAGGCATTCATGACTCAGAGGATATACTTGATTTCTGTTGTATTTATGTGTAAAGTGTTGCACATTCTGCCTTTAAGGCATGCTTCTAGTTTATTTAAAGGTGCACTATGTAGTTTTGGTAGAGAAATGTGAAAGTTGGAGAAGTGTACAGATTCTGTAACTCTATACACAAACTGTCCTCAGAGGAAAATTTGGTCCCTGGAACACAGTTTGAAGATAAAATGCTACACGCGAAGTTGTGGTGGGGGGCCCGCAACAGTGAAACTGTAACTCTCCTGATAACCTTTTAACTTTCAAACAGTGTTCCAGGGACCAAATTTTCCTTGGTCCTTGGAATAAAGTTTGTGTATTTAGTTCTTTAAGTTATTGGTGTCATCTGACTTCATTGATGTAGTTGAGTATCATCTGCATAACAATGAAAATGTATACAGTGTTTCCTTGTGATATTTAAGTTTTAACATTCATCTTTTATAACAAACTGATATCAGACCAGTTTCTGAACAGATCCAGTGAATTAACTCTTCATTACAGTTATATAATCCGTCAGTTTGATTCAAATCTGATGGTAAAATAATCCAACAGAAGACGAAGTTCACACATAAAAGCATTATAAAGTAACGTTACTGTATAATAACTAACTTAAAGTGGTCAACAACATAACCTTATTAAATGTTTGACAGACAATCAGACTTATTATTAACACAGACAAATAATCAATTTGAAGTGTTCTTTGTCCTTCCTTTTTCCTGCTTTAAGGCTAATCTGTAAACTAAACGTTATTGCTGCTGTTTCTGTCTTATTGTCACATTATTATAAATGTTGTGTTAAGATGTAGCGTATGATGTATGTTTCTGTATGTTTCAGGCATCATGGTTCCTGCTCTGAGGCCACTGTTCCTGCTGTTGTGTCTGTCTTGTTGTCTTCTGACTTCGGCCGCAGAAGGAAAATCTACAAAGAAAGGGAAGAAAGGAAAGCAGGTCGTCTGCCCATCGTAAGTCGATACATTATTCTCTAATCAGTTTTAATATCTCCATTTGTTTAACCCATTTTCAGGTATTATTCAGAAACATGGGATGTCTTTTTCACATGCTTACCTTATTTTTGTGAATTATTTTGACATTCCAACCTGCCATCTGTACTGCAGAGAGGGGAACACGTTCAATGCTAAACCAAACATTAACACTAAATCAGTTATAATGCAAAATGTTTACATATTGATTATTTTTAACACTAAACTCTCCTGCTGTTTCACTGTCACATTCATTATAATCACACTTTTCTGCTTTATCTGCTTCATAAAAATCATCTGTGATGAAGTCCAGCAAACTGAATCGTTTCTGTTCTTTGTGTGAATGTGTGGTTATTTATTTAATGAAAGCAGTTTTTTTCTGTATGTGTATTATCCTAAATTCATATTATCCTGTTTGTAATAAGCTCATTTATTTGAATTATCTTGTGTGTAATAAGCCCAGGTGTTTACATTATTTTGTGTGTAATAACTCCAGGTGTGTGTTTTATCCGAGGGGTAATACCCCCATGTTGGTGTATTATTCAGTGTGTAAAACCCGAGCTGTGTATCATGTATGGAGGTCATATAGCACACAGGTGAAACTAACACATTTTATATGAATGTCCTCTATAACAGTCAGCTGTCTGCTGAAGATCTGGCTCAGGTTCCAGAAAATTCCACTTCCAACATCCTGAACCGCCTGATGGTCAGCTACGACCCTCGAATACGACCCAACTTTCAGGGTAAGAATTACAGCAGCGCATGAATGTGTGCAGTTAAATACACACTATATGCAAAAATGTTCATATACAGAATACAGTGAAGTCATAATTAACGAAACACTTTATATAAAGATGGACACACATCTCCACTTCCTCTTGTTGTACTAAAGTGAAGCTAAAATACCCCCGGTTATAGAGTTCAGCTAGTGGAGCTGAAGCATTGATGTCCCACCCCCTTCCTCTAACCAAAACACGCCTTTAACTTCCTGCTAAAAAGTCAAAGGTCCCTCAGGTGGGTATAGTCCACAGCAGAACAGATTATTTTGTCCGTTTTTTAAGCAGACACTCATGGTTATGGAAAGTTAAATGACTCTTGTGTTAGTGTTTGTTACGTTTCCTCTCACTGTTCCTCCTCTACTTTGATAATCCGGACCACACAGCGCTGCAGGAGCCTCATTTGTCAACAGAGCTGTCAATCATGACGTTATATTCCTTATTACAGCATCAAATAACTAATTAAAGCTAAACAAAACGTAGACATAAATCAGAATGATAAGAGCGTCCTATTATTAAATAAATGATGTTTGAGAAAAATTTATCTGAGGTGTATTTAAACTTTATAGTTTAATACATGTCTTATCTGTTAAAATGGAGGAGGCGGAGCTTATGACCTATACTGCAGCTAGTGAACAGGAGGAGCTCTAAATATTTTGATTTCACTTTTAGGGAGCTGCCATGTTGTCCATCTTTTTATACAGTCTGTGGAATTAACATGTGAAAGACTACAACAGTGTTTGTGTGTGCAGAGCAATAAACGAGAACAAGGTGATGTGATGATGATGATGTTGATGATGCGATGTTGATCATGATAATGATGGAGGGATGAAGACGAAACGAGAAAAGGAGAAAAAAGAACAGAAACAACATGAGGAGTTTTTGTGCTTCATTTAATATGAAGCTCCAAGCTACAACCAACCAGATGTTCACATGCACGCACGCACACACACGCACGCACACACACACACACACACACACACACACACACACACACACACACACACACACACACACAGATGTTTAGTTTAGGAAATATTCATTCATTTATTTTTTGCTGTTTTTTTGCTCTAAATGACAATCTGAGTCTGTTTGAACAAACCCTCTATTTGTCCCCCTATACGTGTCTCCATGGTAACCTTAACATTGCATCAAGAACCAATGGACAACTTTTTCTTGGTGCTGAGTGTGTGTTTATGTGTGTGTGTGTGCTTCAGGGATCCCTGTGGAGTCCAAAGTGAACATCTTTATCAACAGCTTCGGATCCATCCAGGAGACCACAATGGTACACAATTCTTTTTACAGAGTTGACATCAGCTCACTCCCTCGTGATAATCAATTATGTAAATCTTGAATAAGTTACTAGTAGTCAATTAGCATCCGTGCTCCTATTATTGCCACACCAACAAATATGTTTAACAAGCCGGGGTAAATTGTTAACTTGAACATGCTAATTTGATCTACCTTTACATTTCAAACAGTACAGCTTTCAATGCTTCTTTAACTGTAGTCTATTTATTCTATACGCTGACAATCGTTACACGTGACGTGACACTACTCAACTAATCAAATGCTCTACACAGACCAGGCCCTGCAAGTGAACTGAACCACCCGGAGGAGTCAGCAGACGGTCTCATAAACACAACGTGAAAAATGAAGGCTGCTTTCACACCGCGGCGTACAAGTGAACTGAATCAGATTTTTTGCTTCTATGTGACTCAGATCTGATGTTTAGATAACAATGTGAACAGCACAAATGATCTTTTTATATCAGATTCGGGCCACTTTCATATTTCCACTTTCCACAGGAGTCTTATACAGGCTACATTTAAAAAGCAATATGAACGGCCAAAAAAGAAAATCAGATCTGAATAAAAAATCGGAACTGAGCATTAAGGCTTGCAGTGTGAACACAGCCGGGGTGAGTCAGGGAAAAGTAAACATCGTGTGCTCTAAATTTAGAAAAGAAGACACAAAGAAAGAGATTTTCATCAAGAATGGTCAGACTCTCACTTTTTTTTGCCCATGGGCAGTTTAAAACAGAATGTCTCAAATGATTCGACCGATTCACCAGAATCCTGAAGCATTCATAGTTTTGGGTCAACATATAAAATCTTTTTACAGACACAGAAATGACCTTTCACATTTCCAGCTCAGTTTTAAATGTTAAGAGGTCAAGCTGAAGCTAATTTCTCTCACAAAATTAGAGAAAGTGTGAGGGTGGGACACAAGACGAGAGAGAGAGAGAGAGAGAGAGAGAGAGAGAGAGAGAGAGAAGCAGGTGCTAAAGCTGTTTAATGTTTTAATAAAGGTTGAGATTGTTAATTACAAAATAGGTTTAAAAAATGATGAGTATCAGCAGATGGCAGCAGTGACGGTGTATATTCAGTAACTTCAATAGGGCAAAGGGGTTTGGTCCAAAAATATTCACTTCGGCGGTTCTGTTGGTCTTGTGGTTAGTTTACGCAACCCCATGTACGGAGCCTGTAGTCCTCGAATCGGCCCGAGTTCAAGTCTGACCCATGGCTCCTTTCCCGCATGTCATTCCCAAATCTCTCTCTCCTGGTTTCCCACTCTATCCGCTGTCTTGACTCTCCAATAAAGGCATAAAATAATAATCTGACCAATTCAACTTCTCAGACAGGGAGATGTTGATATAATTTGCCTCTCATAAAAAATATAAAGGCCTAGTACTTTCTGCAGTTTAGTAAACAAAGAGGATTTATAGAGTATCTTTTTGTGACTATTAATTATATCTTTATGTTATTATCCATCATGTTTATGGTGAAAACATAAACACATGAATTGATGGAGTAGTTGTATTTATATTCACTAATACTGATGTAGATTAATATATGTACACAATAAGGTTCTGTGTGTGTGTGTGTGTGTGTGTGTGTGTGTGTGTGTAGGACTACAGGGTGAACATCTTCCTCCGTCAGCGGTGGAACGACCCTCGTCTTCGTCTGCCCACAGACTATAAGAGTGACTCTCTGACCATCGACCCAAACATGTTCCAGTGTTTGTGGAAACCCGACCTGTTCTTTGCCAACGAGAAGAGCGCCAACTTCCATGATGTGACGCAAGACAACATCCTGCTCTTCATCTTCAGAAACGGAGACGTGCTCATCAGCATGAGGTACAACCTCCTCTTCATCACTTTAGTTATTGATCCTCCTCTTCATCACTGGTCTTATTGACACAGCTACATAAATTATAACAGACCATAAACAGATACTCTTTCTGTGTGTGTGTGTGTGTGGTGTGTGTGTGTGTGTGTGTGTGTGTGTGTGTGTGTGTGTGTGTGTGTGTGTGTGTGTGTGTGTGTGTGTGTGTGTGTGTGTGTGTGTGGTGTGTGTGTAGGTTGTCAGTGACCCTCTCATGTCCGTTGGATCTCACTCTCTTCCCGATGGACACACAGCGGTGTAAGATGCAGCTGGAGAGCTGTAAGTGCACACACACACACACACACACGCGCGCACGCACGCACACACACACCCAAACACACACAGTGTTATATAATTACATGCAGTGAAACAGCTGTTGGAAGTGTAAATTTGAAATAATCTGTGATCTCAGAGGCTAAAACATTGAAAATCAGAGTTTCAGTATTTAATGATCAGTGAGGTTTGAAACAGAGATTATTTTCTCCTACAGTAACAAATGTAAGACATTATTAAATTGGTCAGACACTAAAACATTTTTACATAGTTGATATGTTAAGAGATGTTTTTAGGCATATTTTGCACTTGAACGCTGTATTGCTTCAGTGGTAAAGTAGATAAGTTAAAAACCCGGATGATAAAACAATGAAGGACCCTTAAAACATTTCACCAAATATCAAACATTAAATCAGACTGATTCTGTCTTGACCCAGGATAGACCGAAAATGGATTAACAAATCTTGATCATTTGAATTTAGATGAGAGGTTTAATATGAAAGATAGTGACTGACTTAAATCATAAAATGACCTTACTACACCATCAGACATTAAGGAAACATTCTGTTTTGTCGCCCCTTGGTTTGCCAAACCAAAAAATGTTGATGAAAGCAATTATTTAGATAGAAGTGATTCTACCCGACCTAAAAAGCTTCTGCATTTTTCTAATAAGCTGCGCGAGCAGAAACGTGCTCAAACTAGGATCAATATTGGAGATGCTTTTAAAAAATGGAGAGAGGTTAGAACGCAGAAAGATTTATAGACCAATTCAAAGCTGGCTAAACACTGAAGCTTCAGTGTCAGTGACATGGCAACCTGTGTGAGCATCAATTGTAGGGAGGAGGGTGCGGGGGAGACATATCTCTCCAATGTTTTGAATTTGCACTGCAGTACCCATTTTAAACGCTAGGTGTCAGAGTTACATATTGCTCCTTTAAAGCATTAAAACAACCAAGCTGATGTGATCCAGAGAGGAATGGTTTCATTTTAAACTACATTTTATTTTTCTCATATATTCAAAACCCTCACTTCAATCTGTTCTATGCTCATAAATAATTTGAGAAAAGTCAACTCAATTAAATAAAGTTTATAGGGGAACTTTGATACACAATGTAAGCAGTTTTTATGAATATGTATAATGAATAATAAGGATATTTTCTTGTTTTTTTCAGTCGGTTACACCACCAGTGATCTGGTGTTCATGTGGCAGTCTGATCCCGTTCAGATGGAAGAAATTGCTCTGCCTCAGTTTGACATCAAAAAAGAAGACATCATATATGGAAACTGCACAAAGTACTACCAGGGCACAGGTCAGTCAGCGATGATTATTGATTATTATTGAAACATGAACAATGACCCAATGAAGTTATAACTACAGTATTTATATAAACTGTACTGTTAGGTTTAGGTTGAATTTAAACCCCTAATGAAATGTAAAAATGGTTTAATAAACAAAAAGAGGAAAGAGAGCAGCCAGTGAAGGCAGGGAGCTCGCTGGCCAGTAGAGTTATCCTGGAGACTACATGAGGATGAATAAAACTCAGACACTGAGACTGGTGAAGCAGCGAGGCACACCAGAATACCTGTGCACATAAAAAAAAACACAGGTAAGGACAAAAACATCAAGAGCCACAAAAACACTGCACAATAGGAAGCTAACCAACACTAGAAAAATCTCTGGAAGAAACACTGAAAGAGAGTACCAACAAACAAGACGGAATTATCTGGCAGAGTCGTGGAGTGAAGACCAGGGGTGCATTCCAATTGTCATTTTTCCTTAGGAAGGTTCCTTACTGAGTTAAAAGACCCGGAAGCATCTAAGTGGCAGCCATGATAAGGTGCGTCAATGCTTCCTTTATAACCTCCTTTAGCATAGGGTGCACTGGACCATCCTTTACCAAAGGAGATGAGATAATGCCGTCCCACAATTCCTTGTGGCCACAACATTTAAAGTGACTTGCGCATCCGACCGTTTACGAAAAATAACAAATAATTTGTAGCCTGGTAGCTTTAATTCCCTTTATTTCAGTCCCAACCTTCCAGTAATTAGGATTATTTCAGGGGAAAGTTTTTTAGATGCGCTTTTAGTATTCCATTTTCTGAAAATTTTAGTTTCACCATGGTACACCCACGTCATCAACCGCCGCCGTCGCATAATTACGTAGCCTAGTGGAAATGCGGTCGGATTGTCAGAGCAACATTGTCGCCTTTCCCTTAGTCCTTTATGAATTCTCCTAACATCTTTCCTTAACCTCATGACAATTTCCCCGGGGTTAAGGTAAAGAGGATAGTGAAAGAGGATAGTATGGGACAATCAGTATCCACCCCAGACTTTTATTGTCAGGTTGATGAGCTTAGAGGAGCCAGGTGTGCCTCGTCTGCACCTGAGAGGAGAAGCCAGCCCCACCCTCTGCCACACCCAAACCTACAGAAGAAAGAGAACAGAAAGGGGAGGTGGAGAAGGAGAGAGAGAAAAGACACAAAACACCTACAGCCAAAGCCAAACAGAATCATCACAGGTATGATAAAGTTATTTAAAGGAAGAATGTGCAACATTTACACATAAATACAGCAGAAATCAAGTATATCCTTTGTATGTATATCTCTCTAGGTCATGACTGTCTACAATGAGTGAGAAGCATAAGTCCCGCCAGCGCAGAGGTTACAATGAAAAGACAGAAAGATTTTTAAATTTGACTGCAGCAGGATGATTGGTTGAGAGAGGTTGTGGCAGAATCTGGTTGGTTAATTACTTCGAGAATAAACGCCCATGATCAGCTGATCACCAGAGCAGGGAGACGGAGGAAGTAGTAGAGAGGGAGTGTCTAAATTCAATGAAGAATTGAATGAACGTGTGAGAGAATATAATCAGTCTTCCTGCTTGAATTTACGCTGAGCTCCATAAAACTTGAAATAAACATAATGTGGAATTATTTTATTTATTTATTATTTTAAAAAAGTGAATTTGGTTTCATCTCTTACATTTATATAAACTGTCTGCAGTAAAAATGAACACCTGTTTTTTTCTGTTTGTAAACGTCCAAATTTTAATTCCCTTTAATCTCCTGTAGGTGAGTTTATTTGAATCTATAAAATGTTTCTTTATGTTTTCAGGTTATTACACCTGTGTGGAGGTGATCTTCACTCTGCGTCGGCAGGTCGGCTTCTACCTGATGGGAGTGTATGCTCCGACTCTTCTCATCGTCGTTTTGTCCTGGTTGTCGTTCTGGATCAATCCAGACGCCTCGGCCGCTCGAGTGCCACTGGGTCAGAAAAAAACACTTGATTAATCAAGGAGTTGTTTTTTACTTATATATGCCAAATATCTAATACATGCTGAACTAACAATTACCTGAAACATCTAATACTAGATTAATATAAAGTTTATGAATACAATACAATTTTTTTGACAGATAATCTGACAATTTTTATGATAATCTGACATTTCACTGAATCATTTCTGTAAATAGATGTAGGTCTGAGACTCACTTCAGTCATTTACCAGCCTCCTATTTCTCTGTTTCCTGCACGGATGAAGAAAGTTTAATGTGATTGTCCTATCTGTCACTCTAACGGTGCGCCCATCCCCCTCCTCCCTCCTCCCTCCTCCCTCCTCATTCCTTTCCCCCTCCCCCATGGATCCAGGACAGGAGGGTCACTGAACATCCTCATGTGCGTCTTCATTTTCATCCTTATCACATCTTCAGGCTGAAATGAGGCTGAATGCCCCACATATAAATGTTGAGTGTAGTGATGTTATAATATCATTATTATGTTCATGCAGGTATCCTGTCAGTCCTGTCTCTCTCCAGTGAGAGCATGTTGTTAGCATCAGAGCTACCAAAGGTTTCTTACGTGAAGGCCATCGACATCTGGCTCATTGCCTGTTTGCTCTATGGATTTTCATCTCTGGTTGAATACGCTGTGGTACAGGTCAGACATAGACACACACACACACACACACACACACACACACACACACACACACACACACACACACACACACACACACACACACGCACACACACCTCGTGTGGTGTTTCGCTGACCATACAATAAACTAATAAGGTGTAAAATGTTAACCCTAACCCTATACAATCTACTAAACCTGCCTCTCCCTCTGTCTCCCTCTGTCTCTCTCTCTCCCCCCTCACCCCCTCCCCTCCCTCTCAGGTGATGTTGAACAGTCCCAGACTGATCGAAGAGGAAAAAGCTAAAATGGCAGCCAAGGAGAAAGCTTTGAAAGAGAAAGAGGAAGGAAAGAAAACTACAAATAACAAAAGTAACAACACAGTGAATGGAACAGGAGGAACACCTATACATGTAAACACCCTTCAGGTAAAAACACCTGGGCCAGCAGCTCTGTCAGTCACATTATCTATAACACACACATCATATGGATCTTTATTGTTATCAGATGATATCCAAATGTTTTCTTCTCCAGTTTGTGTTTAAGGGCGATGCTTAAGTGCTGTCTGTCCTTCAGCAGAAACGTGTAGTGTATTATTTGCATGTATCATTAGATAGTCAAGTAAGTAAAATGCAGGTGTGGTAATGATATGTAGCAATAAGATGATGCATACAGTAATACATATAACATATACAATATGTGTTCATAAGTATAAAGGAATATGAGATCTGTCTGAAATTGTCTACAGCAATGAAATCAACTGAGGACAAGATTGTTATTTGACCTATAGGGTTTTATATAACAATTATATGATTGCTGAAAAGTAAACACAGTACCGTCCAGGGCACAGTGACCTGCCAGAAATGCCCGGATGTTGGCATACCGGTAGCCGAGTGGTTAGTTTGCACCCCATGTACACAGTCCTCGAAGAGGGCTGCCTGGGTTTAAATTGGACCTGTGGCCCAAAAATAAATCTTTAAAAACAAATGTCCAGATGTTTCCTTATAAGGATTCTGGCGGGTTCTGTTGAGAAAAAAACATTCATTAAGTTACATAATGTGTGATGGATTCATCCTGAGTTGTACAACATGTATGACATGTCCGCATTACAGGAAGTGTGAAAAAGTCCCACCAGAAGGAGGAAACTATATTGATATTCAAATATATTTAAGATTATATAGTTTGTGTATTGTTCAGTTCTGGACTCTGCAGACCTCAGTAATCATTTGTTTTTTTAATAAGTATCCTAGTATCGAAGAAGGCCGTCTCCAAGAAATCATTTGATTCACTACAAATGTTAGAAAACAAACATGATCAAATATTTCTGATTGTCTTTCCTTCATTGAAAGGATATTTTTCTTATGAATCTTTGATTCTGAAGCAACTGGTCACACCTTGAGAAAGTATTTATTTCCACAGGACTGTCCATACAAAGAACAAATATTACAACATCAATAATGATGTGAGCTTTCTACAGTCGTTATTGATGGTCATCAATAAACAGAACATCATTATTCTGTACACAGTTCTGTGGCTGCAGCATAAAGAACTGACTGTGAAAGCTATGAGAGAAACTAAAACAGAAGCAGAGCGTTAGGCTTCTTTAAAGAGGAGTCTGGAGAGTCCAAGTCTGTTTTAGTGGTTTTATTTTTGAAAACATACTTTTTAATTTTCGATAGTTCATAGATTCTGTTTGATGGTCACACAGATGTTTTTTAATGTGTGACTGTGATTAATAGGTAATTATGATACCAACTTATATATAAAACATGAAGACCTGTTGATTGGCAGTCAGTGTTTCTTTCACTTAGTAAAGGTTTTATTAGTTATTAATTACTTGGTCTCAGTGATTCCCTTGAGTGAACACTATTTTAAAGGATTAACATTTATAGTATTAACTCTTGGTTGAGGCAGACAGACAGGTTTTTCATTATTCATATTGAATAAAAAGTGGACCCAGCAAGCTACCCTGTGGGACTCCATGAATTATGTACTATGTACTTTGGATCTTAAAGCTCTAAAGGAAGAATGTGCGACTTTTTAATCCAGTAATGTCTGACTTTTTAATGTCGCCTTTGAGCAACCAAAACAAACTGCTGTTTGGCAACACCTCCACCACACTGAATTCTTCACTCTCCTACAGCGACACATGTCCAACCACTCTCCCCTCGCGTTGGACAAAGAAATTATCAAATTGGAATGCACCATAATTAAGCATTAAGCGCTAAGCGCAAGCAGCGGACTAAACTGTCCTCGTCTCGAGCTGCATTGTTGTGTTAGCAGGCTAATGGTAGCACTCTTACTTTGCTCGTAGCTTCACATTGCATGTGAATTTATACAAATGACCATGATCTAAAAACAATTACGTGACATTCAAATAAGCAGTGAGTATGTTCTTCTTCTTTTCTCTAGTCCCTCACTTAAACAGCTTTTATACACAAGGGGATGAGCCGGCCAGCTGCCCTGTCCATATAAACACGATGTATATACGGCTGAGACATCATCACTGCCAGCGGGACTTGCTCGTCTCACTCATTTTAGACAGTCTTGATTCAGTTAAATATTTACAGAACTGGATTTCTGCTATATTTCTGTTTAAAATGTCACTCATTCTTCCTTAAACTGAAGCAGTTTGATGACTCCTCCTTCAACAATAAAAGTTAAGATTTAAAATCTTGTTTTTATTTGTTCTCTGTTGCCCTTTTCAGGTCGTAGAAACTCGCTGTAAGAAAGTCTGCACCTCCAAGTCAGACCTTCGCTCCAATGACTTCAGCATCGTGGGATCTTTACCACGAGACTTTGAACTCTCTAATTTTGACTGTTATGGTAAACCAGTGGAAGTTTTGGGAGTGCTGAAGTCCCAGAGCAAAGCCAACAAGAAACCCCCCCCACCCAAGCCAGTCATACCTGCTGCTGCTAAACGCGTTGACCTGTATGCACGAGCCCTGTTCCCCTTCTCCTTCTTATTCTTCAATGTGGTCTACTGGTCTGTCTACCTGTGACAGAGCAACACATGGACCGCAATCTCTCAACACAACATCAGAAACTTTACTCCAATAAAAACTAAGATATTCAACCTTCAGAGTCTGCAGAGAGAACCTAGGACCCTTTGGAACATCTCTTTAATTCTGCATGTGTGTTTCTGTCTGATACAGACCATTAAGCTTCATGTTAATCCAAAACCTGCGCTTTGCATTAGAAATAAACGCTTTGACTGCAGCTAACCTTACTGCTAACACTTCATGATCTAAGTATAGCACTCCAAATACCCCCCCCCCAATCTCGTATAATAAAGCCTTAAATAATTAATATAAATACATATATGAAGATATAGTAAATAATATATACCTCTGTTTTTCTGCTCACATATTTTACAGAAAGAGTTTAATTTATACTTAAAAAGACCTGTTCTCGAAGAGAAAGAATGACAGCACTTTTTTTCTTAAATATTTTATTGTTTTTAAAACAGCGTTACATTTTGATGAATGGGAACTCAACTTCATTTTTTATAACCAAAAACCACAAGTATTTCAATTAAGCAACAAATGTTCCTGGTTTAAACCATAGACAGTATATAATTATCATTTTATACAGTCTTTGGTTAAAATTAAAACAATTAAATACAGTTAATTTTCTAACAGGTTGATGACATCACTTCCTGTCCTTGCTCTGGTCCAGTTTCACAGGTGGACTAGGTCTTCAGATGTTTTTAGTCCAGGTGTTTGGTGTGGAGTCTTACTCAGCAGGTTTTGATCTGAGCATTAAATAAAGATGATCATTAATAAAATATGGTAATAGTCCATATTAGGACATATATCATTATGTAACATATCTGTTATTATGGCTGAACTGTTTGAGTGACACTGATAATACTAACCCATAACCTTAACTAACCCACCCATGACCTTACCCATAACCTTAACCCTGTTTGCTGATAATTTATAAAGTTTAACTTTTATGTGTTCAAGTTTTTTATATATTCTTTACTTTTATCTTTAATTATAAAATGTAACAAAGTGAAAAACTGCTCTGAATGATTAAAAAATCCCAACATACAGATGCATCAGATCTGTGTAGTCTTCATCTGTACATCCATATTCACTGGACAAAAATTTAAATGCAACATTTTTGTTTTTGCTCCAATTATTCACGAGTTGAAATCAAAGATCTAAGACTTTGTCAGTTATACACAAAAGGCCTATTCCTCTTACTTGTGTTCACACATTTGTTTAAAGGTCACATATTATGCAAATATACATTAACATGTTTTTCTAAAGCTAAAATGTTTCACTAGAACATCTAAGAAAAAACAGAAAAGTTCATCCTCTCTGTCTTTTGCCTCATCCACTTTTCAGTAAATGTGTGCTCAAACAGGCCGTTTGGAGATCTTCCCCTCATGACATCATAAAGGGCAGCAGCCCCTCCCCCAGCGGAGGGAAACTTCCAATGCTGGGGGCGGTTAGTTCTGTCTGTCTTTCCACTGTAAACAATGCGGCATGGAGCAAGGAAGCCCAAGCCATATTCCAGCCCATTCCAGAGAGGGGCGTGTTCAAACAGAGCTCATTTACATTTAAAGCTACAAACACAGAAACAGTCTGTTCTGAGCAGGGCTGAAATATAGGGGGTTATAGGCATGATCAAATACAGGATCAGAGTGGATTTTAAGCAAGAAACTTCAAAGACCTGTTTTGGGGAGCTCTGAGACGTATTTAAACTTGTTGAGAAGGCGTTTAATAAGTGACCTTTGAATCTGTGTTAGTGAGCATTTCTCTTTTGCTGAGATAATCCATCCACCTGACAGGTGTGGCATATCAAGATGCTAATTATAAAGCATCATTATTGCACAAGTGTGCCTTAGACTGGAACAATAAAAGGTCATTGTAAAATGTGCAGTTTTATCACACAGCACAATGCCACAGATGCCCTGAGTTTTGAGGGAACAAGCAATGAGCATGATGAATGCAGGAATGTCCACCAGAGCTGCTGCCCGTAAATTGTTAATTTCTCTTTAGTTCATCTTCAAAGTCATTTCTGAGTATATGGCAGTACATTCATCCAACCTCACAACCGCAGACCACGTTTAACCTCACCAGCCCAGGACCTTCACATCTGGCATCTTCACCTGCAAGATCAGTCAGATTCAATCAGATATTAGGTGAGACGAAGTTACAGTCAGATATCTGTATAGGCATTAAATATGATGTTCCCCAAAGACTAATACATTTTATTATCTTTGTTTCATTATTAAATCAGCGTTAAATTACCTTTTCAGGATATTAGTACCAAACATAAAAACAAAGGTTCCTGAGGATGCTGTGTTCTCATTGTTCAGTTTCTTTGGGAATAATTTTCATAAACATAGTGTTAGAGCTGAAGATTTATAACTCCCTCAGAGACAATCATCAGATAATAATTGATTAAAATTACCACACTTTACAATTTAAAGCCATAAATTTGAACATAACCTGAGCCTATCAACACAAATCGACAAAAAAAAAATCAATTCAGGCCCACAAATACATATTAAGTGAAATTTTGTTTGCAGGTGTTTCCTTAATTACTGTAAGAGCTTTTAGTAACTTCTATTAAAGGAGCAAAGTGTAGGTTTAGTGACGGCTGGTGGTGAGTTGTTGAATCCCCCATAGAAACATGATTCAATAGAAATGAAACACAAATTGTGGTTATATGTAGCTGCATCTTTAGAAGTTTTATTTCTAGTATTAGTATTTTTCGAAGTGATTTAATTTCTTTATAATTGTTGTAATTATTGTGGTTGTTTTATATGTTTTAGTGTATTTGTTCTTTTCTGTTTTACTCTGTGAGCTTTTATGTATGACATGACAGATAATCAGAGTCTTTAATAAATTCCCTCTCCCGGGGAAATTGGCTTTTCCCTTTGTGCCGCTTCATGGATTTGTTGAACTGTTTGTGTTTCAGTTGAAATAATTTGATTCATTTGTTTCCTATGAGTGAAAATCTACAGCTCAAAGGAACAAACATTTATAGAAACTATTTCTACACATCGTGATCGTGTTCATGTAGCCTACTCGGAGACGAGAGGTCCAAATATTAAAGATGCATACACATTGAGGTCTACTCGGTGCTTCAGGCAGTGTGCTGACATCTGCTGGCCAGCTGCTGTAATTACATCTGAATGAAAACCTATAAAAAAGATCAGGACAGAAGGACCTGTTTGAAGATAGATTTTAAACGTCGTTAAGTTTTTTTAAAATTTTTTATTTCTAAAACATCTAGTAGACGCTTTAAAAAGCGACTTAGCCTATATCAAGTAGTTAGTAAAACACACGCACGGATCTAGAGGGGAGGATGCAACATTTAGCCGAATCGATCAAAAATCTTCCTCAAAGATCAGACGATGAAACTTTAAGATTCAATAATCGAATCTAAAGATTCAATAGACTGAATCATTGCCCCCGCCCCACACACACACTCCCCCCACTACAGCAGAAACATTAACTCTGCATATATTGGCTCTAATGTATAGGCCTATATGACATGTAGGATGTAGGATGTAGGCCTATAGATACTGTAGCCTATATGACTGTAACTTCATATGTGTTTGAGCAATTTTTTTCAGACACCCCTGTCAGGTGAAATGACACATGCTATCCGGTATTGATTATTCATTTAGAGAAAATCATCTCCTCCTCATCCTTTTCTTCTTCTCCCTCCTCATGTCTCCTCTATCCCTTCTCGTTCTTTCCCTCCCCTTTTCCACTTCTCCTCGGCATCTCGTTTATCTCCGTTAAGTTCTCGGCTCCTCTCGGTCTCTCTCGTACCTCATCGGTATTCCTTGGCAATCCTCGGCGCGCGCCGTCCAGCAGCAGCAGCAGCAGCCGTGCACGCGCCTGTAAGGAGAGTGCAAGGCATCTGCAGAGCTCGAGCTGTGAGCGGAGCTGGACCGACGCCATGAGCTCGCGCGGTGTGTGAGGGAGGTGATGATTCGGTAAAAAGCGGAGCCGTTGTTGCTGTGAGGTCGCGTGAAAACATGAAGCTGCTGTTTGTGGTGACGCTCTTATGGCGCGAGGCGCTGTGCGGGTCCCCGAGCGTGCAAATAGGTAAGACCTTAATCCCCGTCATCATCCTCCACATCCCTCCATCGGTGTGTCACGGTTATTCTGGCTGTCCGGTACCAATCTGTCTTCTTCTCCTCTTCCTCCTCTGTCTCCTCTTCCTCCTCTTCCTCCTCTCGCTCCCGCTGCGGGCCTCCTTCTCGCGCTCCTCCTCGTCTCTCGGAGGCCTCCTCCCGCTGCTGCAGTGCTCTAATTATGTCACATTTTCATCTTTTATATTTGTGCATGTGCCATTCCCCCCCCCCCCCCCTTCTGGCAGTGCAGTGTGTGGCGCGTGCGTGTGCGTTGTAAAGATGTTTACAGGTCCACAGCTGGACAGGTATTCCGGTCCTGATCCGATCTCTGTCTCTGTGGGACCGCCAACATGAAGGTGTAGAAATCCTGAGAGGTCCAGATTCAGCCTCCATCAGATTTACATAAAAGGCTTTTATATAAAGAAATATTAAATATTTAATGTAAGAGACTTTCAGTCAGTTTGTTTCTCTGTTGTATAGAATACAACAAGTCAGTGTTTCCTGCAGCACCTTTCATGTTTTATTTCTTATTTTACATAAAAGCTGCTGACACGTTAAGATGTTTCTGCAGGACGTGGCGGCGTGCGGAGGAGACTCTGATGTGTGTGTTTGTGGGCGTGTTGATGATTATGTTGTTGTCAATCCTATTGACAACAACTGATGTTTGTGGGATCTTCGTCATATATTTTGACCAATAAAACCAAAAACAACACCTCACCTGGCGCTTACAGAAAAGTTTCCATCTACAGTCTTTGCATCTGACCATGGGTGTTTTTGTATCACAGGAACTTTTTCATAGTTCTAGGAACTGTTTTTTATTGATTCCACACAGCAAGAACTACGCTATGAACTTTTTAAGTGCCCAGATCCCCGTTTAGAGGAACCTTTTTAACTCCTGCTTCAGTACTCTTCGAGCATAAGAGGGACTTTGAGTGATGTAAGTGCATGGTGATAGGTCTGTACGTCAGTGTTGACTGGTTGAAGACAAGCCGCCATTTCTTAAACATCCCACTGTAAGTGGTAGCAAATAACAGTAAATACCCCACAAACAATGGAGCCAATGCAGAAGTCCAAAATCCTGCAGCTCGTCGAGTGTCCGCTTGAGGCTGGATCAAGGAACACCAGAAGTTACATACACATAACCGGGAAAAAAGCTGTTTTTACAGCATAAATAAACATGTTTACAGCCTGGTACAAAAAACTAAATAGGTCTGATTAGTTATTTTCATCACTGGCACACATACGGGGTGAATTTTTTTCATGGCTCTGTTTTGATGTTTTATTCATAGTCCACTGACATTATTGACAGGTGGGCGCGATGTAACAATTTGTCAAGAGGCTTAAAACCCGCCTCAGCTCCGGCTCTCAGCCTGTCGTTAGGTCGACTGAAAGTTTGGGTCAGACAGCATTTCCAGCATTGCGGATGCTGCCGATGAGGTCCCTGCCGTAACAGATGGTTGACGTCACTCATGCTTCGTACATTAATATTTACAGTCTACGGTTCATACGCCCTCTGTTGTTTTATGTGTCCCCTGGTGTTTTTATAAACAGAGAGTAAGTGCAACACAAGAAAGGATCTAGAAAGGAGGAAACAAACAGCTTGAAGTGTAATCGGACACACAGTTGCAAAACCATCCTAAATAACATCATCGTCATTATCAGGTGCATAGTTCATGAAAGAGCTGGGTCTTTAGCTTTTTCTTAAAGGAGCAAATGGACTCAGCGGATCGTATGGGTTTGGGAGTTAGTTCTGCCACCACGGGTGACAGAGGCTATAGTCTAGCTAGTGACCTGGTGCCCTGTTGTGAAGGTTGGATCAGACGCCTTTCATTGGCAGAGCGTCTAGTGGGCGGGAGGAAGTGTAGACCTGGATGGTGGGGTTAAGGTGAGGAGGAGACGTTTTTGTCTTTGTTTTTTAAGTGAACAGCAGAGATTCCTCGGGGAGATAA